TTTCACCGCTTGTATGAAAGATTAAAAAAAAAATGGACAATTTTACAAATCAACGAGGCCTATTCATGTTCTACAAGAAATAATTGATGCTGTTCAAGAGGCTGTTAAAACAAATCTTTATATAAGCACAAGAGCAGCTGCCGCAGATTTGAACATGAATCATGTTATCGTTCACAAAATTATTAAATATTCTCTGGGTTGGCATCCATTTAAACGGCATACAACACACGAGCTCATACCTGGTGATATGCTACGATGAATAAATTTTTGTGAATTGATTATTGAACATGTAAATATATTTATATTAGTATAATTATATTTAAAAGTATATTTATATTAGTATAGTTATATTTAACAATTTATTTTCTATTTTTTTGTTGCAACATATCAGACATTTTGTAGTCGATTGATATCAGTCAACTTTATACTAATACTCTATACTCGATTTACGCAGGTGAATTTCAATGATGTCGGAAACGATATATTTTTGAAAAATATTCTCTGGAGTGACGAGGCAATTTTTAAAAGTGACGGATGCATAAACAGATATAATGAGCATCATTATGCGTAGCATAATTCACATCGTATGAAGGAAGTAAACATTCAAGGCAGATGGGCTATAAATGTGTGGCTAAGAATTTCTTGGGAGATGGATCGGACTTCATGGTCCTCAGGAATAGCCACCACGCTCTCCGGATCTCACACCCATGAACTTTTTCATGTGGGGCTTCTTAAAAAATAAAGTTTACTAAACCCTGTCGAAAAATGCAGAAATTCTCAAAAACAGCATTCGTAATGCGTGTGCATAGATCACATCTCTCATGCTAAGACGAGTGAGAAAAAATTTCATGCGCAGAATTGCTCTTTATTTAGAAGAAAATGGTGGTTATATTGAACAATTATTATTATTTATTATATTATATTATTATTTATTATATTATATTTAAAGGCCAAAAATATTTTTTCATTATAATTTTATTATTATTTTTCATTTTTTATTATAATTTTTTTGTTTAAATTTGTTTGTCAAATTTTATTTACATTATTAATATATGTTAATATATACTATTAAATATAATTAAATAAAGTGTAATAATCTAAATTAATAATATGTTATAATCTATATTAAATAACAAATAAACTATGTGGGGCACACACATTCCCTATATATTATTTTCACTATATATTATTAAATGTATTGTATCTATATTATCAAATTTTTATATATTATTATAATCTATATTATTAAATATATTTTATCTATATTATTAAATTTTACAACTATTCACTATAACAGAATGATAAAAATTGATTTCCCTTTCTTTACTCTTCGCCGAATTCGCATTCTAATCTTATTCTGCGAGCCCAATAAAGCATGCGCTTGACGGTGAGCAGATAGGCAACCAGACTTAAAGATATGTTGCAAAAACATCCTGTACGACTGCATACTTTTGTAATCATCAATATAATTTGAATATATAATAAGTAATTAAATAAAAAGATATAATATATGTATATACTTATCACAAATGATGCAAAAAGTTCATTCATGATAACTGTTATAAATTCAAAAATAATTATTATATTTATATATTCACAACTAATTATAGAGGATATTATACGCGTTTCCTCTTTCACTCATAAATTTTACAATTTGTTTGTAATTATCGGTTATATATAATATCGAAAATTAATTATATTCCCACGTTGAAAAAATATTATTTATGCATATATATTATAACCGCAATCATTAGATTTCGCTTCGATTACTCAAAAACACAAATTAGATATATCATTATTTGATTTTGTACAATCATGAAAACGGATCTAATATTTTTTAATAATAATCAAAATGTTACAAAATTTCTTTAATTTTCATTAATACATATAATATTAAGATTAAACCTAAAAATTATAGAATCAATTTAGAAATATCCCAGAAATATTTTTTCTACATTAAGATTTATTGAGTCGTTTGAAAAATAAGATAAACATTAATTTAAGTATATCGACTAAATAGTATCGATTGGACTCAGTAAAGCATCTTCTATTTTCTTTCTTAATGCTATAATATTTTTCAGACAAAATTTGAAATTTGGTCTGGCATTCGCTGCACTCTAGCAACGTAGCATCAACTGATACAAGTGATGGTTAAGTGTCAGTTAAAGTCAGAAGAGACAGTTAAAAGTCATTGGCAACCTGCCTCCAGCACGTACTTAATTTATCACTTCTTTATCAGTCTTGGCATCATAAGGTTGCTCATCCAACGATGTAATTTCCCACATTAATACCCCAAATGATCAAACATCGCTTTGAGAAGTAAATTTTCCGATCATCAAAGATTCGGGTGCCATCCAGCGAATAGAAAACAAACCTTCTCTTTCCAAAAACATGATTTTAAAAATTTATGTTCTGATTATTCATTTTTAGAATACGTGCAAAATAAAAAACGTTTATTTATCTCCTGCTATATATAAATAAAAACTATTTATATTCTATATTACTTAAAGAAACAACGCATGATACTATTACGATAAAAAATGGAATGTATTTTCAAAAGAATTTATTTCTTATTCATTAATTTTTTTCATAATTGTAATTACCACGCGATAATAATCATCCTTATAGATATCTTTAGCTAGCCCAAACTCTCCAATTTTGATGACACGATCCTCGCGATTTCTCGAAAATACTAAACAATTGCGACATGCTAGATCTCTATGTACAAAACGCAACTCTTCCAAGTAACAACAAGCTCGCGCAATATCTTCGCACATGGCGAACAAATCTTGCAAACGCAGAGCAAGCGAATCTGACGTTTGCAAATTTCGACATTCTCTCAAATATTTTAACAGATCTCCAATTTCCATCAATTCCAACACTAGTAACAGAGAATCTCCATCTAAACAAACGGCTAACAATCTTAATATATGTTTGTGTTAAAAATGACTCATAAGCTTGGCTTCCTTTAACAATTTGTTTTTCTTATGGAATAAAACATCTTTTTGAAGCGTTTTTATTGCAACGGATATCTCTGTGCTCGATTTTTCTAAGTCCTTCACCTTTCCTTGAAACACCTGCGAAATATTTCACACAAATTTACATACGTACTATATTTGAAAATGTATAGTTTAATGTCAAGTAATATTATATTTTGCTTTATATTAAATAATTCAATAAAAAATATATAATAAACGGCATGCTTGTTGTCTCATGTATATTTTATATTACTTATAATCTATTATAAAAATTCAAGTAATTTATATCTTTATTAGAAAATACATATCTGTTTTGTCGATCCAGAAATTAATTTGATACATTGCTTGAAAAAAATTAATTTTTACCATTCCGAATACGCCACTACCAAGAAGTTTTGTAAATGTATATTAATTTTGTGCAATTTTAGTTATCGCACATTCATCCAGAATGTTTCGGCAAGATACTCATGTAGAATCGCCAATTCTATATCGGTCATTGTTGAAAACAAAAATTGTTCATTATTACCTCTGCGTTGACGATATACCCCCCATAGCAAAAAATGTCACAGTGATGTCACAAAGACATTGCTCTGTGACGATAAAATATGTCAAAATAAAATCACAGTGATGTCATAGTGATGTGCGAATGTCCGCTTTGTAACAGATGTGATGTCATCATGACATCATTGTGATAAGAAATGGAATGTTATAGCGATGTAACTTATACAGATGTGATATCACTATGACATCATTGTGATAGGAAATGGAATGTTACAGTGATGTAATTTATACAGATGTGATGTCACTATGACATCATTGTGATAGGAAATGGAATGTTATAGTGATATAATTTATACGTCATAAAAGGGTTTTATATAAGAGAGACAAAGATTGGTTTTAACACGAGTAAAAGTACCAATCTTTAAAATTAATGAAATTCATAGCAGTGCTATAGCAGTGCTAAAAGCAGAGATAAACGTTCAATACAAGTTTTAATTGCCGAGCATTTAATTGCCGAGCATTTATCTCTTTTTAGCGCTGCTATAAAATATGTTTTTTATTAATTTTAAAGATTATTACTTTTTACTCGTGTTACAATCAACCCTTGTCTCCCCTACGTTTTTCTTTCAAATAAATGTAATTTATTTAATTACAATTTAATTACATTTTTATTTTTTTAAATAATACATATACGTTCCAAAATATATAAGTCATATTATTATATGTGTGTATGTGTGTGTATAACTATCATTTAATACACATTCACGTTAAATCACATCATTTAATCACATTTAATAACTATATCACTAACGTATATATAAATAATACTTATAACTATATCACTAACACATATATATAAATAATACTTATAATAAATAATTTTTAAAGTAATTTTTTTTAAATTCTAGTTATCACTTTATCAGAATTATGAAAAAAAAATTGATATAATTGTTAGAAAACTTAAATGCGCATAACTTTTTAATATATAGGCATTAATAAAATAAAAATAGCGATTGTTCATTTTTTATGCTATAGCTACGCATAAAAATACTAAAATACTCTTAGAACTTTAAATTACTTTAATATTCAACTGTATATATTATTATAACTTTTCTCGTTCTACACTATATTTAAAAAATAATATTTAATAATTACTTTATTGCACTTACAACTATGCATATGTATTTAATACTGTAACCATTTAAATAAGAAAATATATATATATATATTTTCTTATTTATATATTCATATATATATATATATATATATATATAATTACTGTGTATGAAATTAATACATTCAAAATAAAAAAGTACATATGCAGAAATAAACTCTTTATAAAATCTATAAATAAAGGTAATAATAATAAACTGTGCAATAAACGTATTAATGAACTGAATAATAAACGTTCAAATATTATTTATTATATATTAAAATTACTATATATAATATAGTATATATTACTATATATAATATTACTATATATACTACTATATATATTTAATGACCTGTCCTTTTTTTTGTTTAGATCTCCTCATTTTCGCATCTCTTTTTTCGTTCTTCCTTTTTCCTAAAAAGAAATATGTGATTGTTATACATAGGTGCAATAAGTCAATTCTGCAATAAATATTCTATACAAAAATAACAATAAGTTCTTAAACGTTGTATTTAATTTAAAAAAAACTAATACACGCAATAATGAACAGATAGTGCATGTGTTCACCCTCTTTAAAATCAGTTTCTTATAAAAATAAAAAGTTTGAGATAAGATGATAAAATAGTTAAATTGAGGTATATTATATATAATATATTATATATTATATATAATATATAATAATATATTAATATATATATTAATATATATTAATATATATATTAATATAATAATATATTAATAATATATTATATATAACTTACAAATCTCGGTCAAATCTCTGCTTGGCTAAAATTAGCCATCTTGCAATTATATCCTCAATTTCCTTATTTGTTAAATTGCTTCTTGAAGTTCGCGCAGCATCTAACAACAAGTTTAAACAGATATGTGTGGTTATAGATTATATAAAAATTTAAAGCGACTTAATTATATATATATATATATATATATATATATATATTGTATATATATATATATATATATATATATATATATATATGTATATATACTATTCAAAATTATTTTATATTCCTATGATATACATATTATTGAATGATGATATTAGAGTTCTAATAGCATCATCCAATATAACCATGCATAGAATTCTATTGGGTTGAATCATAAGTCATTTCGGTTTTTACTATGATATTCAAAGGCGATTTTTTTTATAGAAAGGAATAATTTTATTCAGTTATGTATTGACCATTTTTTTCGATGACTTTTTGCCATCTTTTGGGTAATATCATGATGCCACGCTCAATTTATCAGCGAAAAACTGATATGATCTATTGGTCGGAGCCGAAATGACTTATGACTCAACCTAATATATATAAAGTGTCAAAAATACGTCAATAAAAACATTTCTGTGATTAAATATTTATATATTTACTTATGATGCATATAGTAATGCGAAGATTTTTAAAGGCATTTTTCAATTTTGCACCAGCCCAACTATATTCCATTGCTAATTTATTTGTTAAAATATGTTTCATCATGTACGAAATCACATCATGATGATCCTTACCTCCTAAAAGGCTCAATTGTCTTGTCTAAAAATATTAAATAATTTAATTAATATCAGTTTATGATCTAAAAATATCAAAATAATAAACATTTGTTTTTCTGTTATAAAAAAAGTTAACATTACTTTTTTTTTAACTTCTTTAAAATTATTTAACATTATATAAATAAATAAATATGTCCAAAATATTGCTTCTTATAAGACATTTCAATAAAATGTTTTTAATCGTGAGTATAAAATGACAATATTTTGTATACCATTTCTGCAGCAATACATTTGTTTTTTAATTGATTATCAATTCTCTGTAATTGTTCTACGGTATCTGCTGGCAAATCGAAATCATAATCTTCATTTTCTTTTGAATCCGTATCCTCATTTCTTCTTATTTGATTATCCAACTTTATTAAACGTTCATCAATTGTTGCAAGATTCAACAATACTGCATTTAGTTTCCTGATAATTAAATTATGAAAATCTGCAAAAATAATGATGACACATATTATTGTATATTTAGTCAGATTATATATTACGAATTATATACCATTTTAAATATATGTTTACAGTAATATAAATAAAAAAAATTAAAACTTTAATAATATATATATAGGTAAGCTTTTACAAAAATTTAAAATTAATAACAGATATATTTTACCTAAATCAATCTCAGCATTACAAGTATTGGATGTAGATATTGTATCTGAATTTTGTGGAACAAGGTCATCTTTATTTGCTGTTCGATGTTCTTGTGAACTTATGGATTTACTACATGTAACTGCAGAAATTTTTTTAGACTGAATATTAATTACTTTTTCATTATTTATTTGTATCAGAGGCTTAGTTATTTTCTTATCACTTTTTATCAGTGGTTTTTTTTATTTCATAGGTCATTTTGCTTTTATTTAAATCGTTTGATATATTAGAAGCTTCATCTAAATCATTGCTTGTGTTAGTTCTATCTGAATTATCAGAAGAAGAACTTGAAAATTTTTTTGCTCGATTCATTTTCTTATCACCTTGTATTAATGATGTCTTTATTTCACAGATTTTGCTCTTATTTATTGTTAAAGCTTTTGGTGTATTAGGAAAATCATCTAACTCTAAATCATTGCGAGTTTTTAATTTATTGATGCTTGTGTCATTTGTATCAGAATTATCAGCAGAGGAACCATTTTTTTTTGCTCGTTGATAGCTCGATTTTTTGAGGTCATTTCCATCATCACCATCTGTATCGGATATTTGTTCAGCTAATTTAAGTTTGTCTATAGCTTTATCATATGTATCTAAATAAACGTATAAAATGTTTGAATATTAAAAATTAGATTTTTGTTTTTATATATTTTATAATCAAATATCACTTAAAATTTAAATTTTAATATATACTTTTAATACATATATATTATAATTTTAATTTATATAATTTTTGATAAAAAAAATAAAATACATTTTTATATTACTAACCGCTGCTACCAAAAATACGGATTATTTTATACAGGGTCTACCAAAAGTGTGGAAACCCCTAAATATCTCGGAAAATATACGTTTTACAGAAAAGTGTTTCCAACAAAAGTTGTAGGGTTTAAGAAGATCTATATACTGATTCTATCAGTTTGACCTTGGATGGCGTCGTCAAGGTCAGGTCAAGGTCACATTGACTTTTTTAAATGACACCCCCTACATTTGATTGCATATTCTTATAGCTTAATTCAAGAGCTTTCCAAAACACTATAATAATGTTCATTTTTATTAAGTACTTTGCGAGTTATGAGGGTTGAATGATAGAGTAGCGCCGGTATTAACATTATCCAAGGTGTACTACATGGAGGTTACTCGCTCGGATTTGCATCTGTTGTGTGTGTGATCCAGCTAACTAAGGCAAGATCGATTCCTCAACATATCCTCATATTTCGCTGAAGTCAAATTGCCAGAAAATTGCTCCATAAAACGTGTATGAAACGTCTCGTTAGTTCCTTCATTTACCGCTATGTGACGCACTACATGCAGTCTAACTCGCATTTAAAATTCAACTAAGAATGTATAAAGCTATCAAAGAACGAGCACCTTCTAACTTCAGCTTTGAGCAAGCAGAAATTAATTGTTATCGTCCAAATACAACGTACGATTAATTAAAATTAAACGTTTTAAAAATGGCTGGCGACTTGTCGGAACGTGAAAGAATCACTATCCTCATGATGCGTGGATGGGGTGATAACGAAAGATCGTTCTCTGATGTCGTTCGATTATTTAATGACACGTATCCGAACCGTCGAATTAATAAGTCCACTGTGTTAAAAACAATAGAACGTTTTAGACAAACTGGTAGCGTAAGAAATCGCTCTAAGTCAGGAAGACCATTGTCTGCAACCAACGAAGAAAAACAACTTGATGTTCTGCAGACATTTATTGAAGATCCCAATTCTAGTGTTCAGAGAGTCGCTCAAACTCACGATATTGCTCCCATGTCGGTTTGGAGAATTTTAAAGAAGAACAAGTTCCATCTATATAAATTGCAATACGTTCAAGAATTGCAAAACGGAGATGAGGAGCGTCGTATACATTTCTGTGAAAGAATGATGGCACTAATAGATGTCCGGCCCATCTTCCCTTATCAAATTGTTTTCACAGACGAGGCAACTTTTACCTTAACGGGAGAAGTTAATAATCAAAATTTTCGTTTCTGGTCAGATGAGAATCCGAATTGGGTGCGGGAAACTCACACACAACATCCACAAAAAATAAATGTATGGTGCGGAATAATAGATGGCTATTTAATAGGGCCGTTTTTTTTTGAAGAATATTTGAACGCTCAAAGGTATGAGAGATTACTTGTTGATCAAATAATTCCAGCCATACAGAATACTTTTCCAAATAATTTCCAAGAAATATGGTTTCAGCATGATGGAGCTCCTGCTCATTTTGGTGCAGGACCACGTCGTATTTTAAATGAGACTTTTCCGCTACGGTGGATAGGAAGAAGGAACGGAAATGAGGGAGGAGAGGATTGGCCACCTCGGTCACCAGATCTAACTCCTCTTGATTATTATCTATGGGGATATCTGAAGAGTAAGGTTTACAGAACAAAACCTAAAACCATTCACGAATTGATACAGCGAATAAGGGATGAAATGGCTTTGATACCTTTTGAAACGAATCGTAAAGTCATTTCTACATTCTACCAAAGATTAGCATATTGTCAGGAAGTAAATGGCAGCCACTTTCAGCATTTACTTTAACACATTGAAACACATTTGCAATCGTTTGGTGCAACCTAACCTGATCTCTGTATACACGCACCGCACGCACGCACACGCACACATTTCGAACAATTATTATGATAAATGAGCATCCACAAATTTATTTACTGTTTACTATGTCGATTGCTTTCCAGGTCTTTAAATGCTCGATTGTAATTTGGTTGGGTCTTTGCTTTTGCTGACTGGATCCACGACCGATCTTGCCTTAGTTAGCTGGATCACACACACAACAGATGCAAATCCGAGCGAGTAACCTCCATGTAGTACACCTTGGATAATGTTAATACCGGCGCTACTCTATCATTCAACCCTCATAACTCGCAAAGTACTTAATAAAAATGAACATTATTATAGTGTTTTGGAAAGCTCTTGAATTAAGCTATAAGAATATGCAATCAAATGTAGGGAGTGTCATTTAAAAAAGTCAATGTGACCTTGACCTGACCTTGACGACGCCATCCAAGGTCAAACTGATAGAATCAGTATATAGATCTTCTTAAACCCTACAACTTTTGTTGGAAACACTTTTCTGTAAAACGTATATTTTCCGAGATATTTAGGGGTTTCCACACTTTTGGTAGACCCTGTATAATTGCCAATCATCAGAAGGAAATATTCTTTTCATAATTGCTTTATTTATCTTAATTTGACTTGTATATGATGGCCATTTACATTCCTTATTATTTTCAGTTAACCATTCAGAAGGAACAATTTGTAAGCCATCTTCGAACTCCACAATATTATACGCCATTATAATAACTAAATAAAAATTTATTAGCATTAAAATTATAAATAATCTATAATATAATAAAAATGTGATGATAATAATAATAATAATATTTGCAATTTATATTAGAGTATTAGAATTACGATTAATTATTTTATTATAAATGCAAATTAATATTAAACATATGTATTATTCAGTTGTGTGTAACATTGGAAATATAATATAATTTTTTTTATAAGGCATTTTCAACATTTTTGCTCTAATTTTATCAAACTCCCATGTCTGAAGATGAGAATATTCAGACATGATACCAATATTTAAAGTTAATGACGAAATAGGCTGTGTATATAAATCTTCCACTAACACAAGCACTTTGCCAATAGCATACATTTTATTGTCATTAGATTTAATGAAAATTTAAAATTGACATTATTTGTCCATTTTCAAAAAAAATGCAATTATTTTTTGGATCATCACAGTTAATATAATATTGATTATTGCAAAAAATTTTATATTGTTGTACAGAAATGAAATCTTTCGTAATAGGACCATCACAATGAGAGTGTGTAAAACATTTTTCCATATCGTATGAATTTGAATATATTTTGAATGTTTCATTATTATGTATTGTCTCAATTTCTGCAAATCTTCTTGTTAATTGCTGTAATGGTTGGTTAGTTTTACGAATTAATTTCTTTAACGTAGACATATAATTCTCAAATTTAAATGCACTGAATTTATCCAGAGTACCAAATTGTTTTACGTCTGCAGCAAGATGTAATAAATTATGAATATTATGTGAAATATATTTAGAACCGTATATAACTTGAAATGATTTTACAAAATGTTTTAATAAATTTTCTGCATATTCTATAATAGAAGTTTGATATGTTAAAGTAGGATGTGCAAGAATTGTGATTGCTACATGTAATGTTAAAAAATGTAAATATACATTTTCTTGTAGTATTCCTTTCAATATAATAGGACCCGTATATAATAAAAATTGCCGATATTCTGTGGCTTTCCAATGTTTCATGTATTTTAATGATCTTGGTTTTCGAGCAAAATCAGAAGGAATATAATTGCGTAACTTTATTAGTTTTTTAGAAATTTTTTCTTTGTCTAAATTTGATAATCTTGTCTTAAGTGGTCCTGAAAGCCATAACATAATAAGTTTACGCATAACACCCAAACATACCAAGTGCATATAATCTAGTGGCACATTTGTAACTAAGCCTAGATTTGGTATATTTTTTAAAATTGTGTCACCAGTTTGATAATCAAGATTATAAGATCCAGTAAAAAATTCTTTATCATTACGTAACATATACGTCATATTAGATGTGTATGGAAAACATATATGTCCTTCTATATTATCACCTTCAATAATGCATTTAGTGCAACTATTATATCCAGTGTGTCCTTTTACATTTAAAATAAATGATTTAGCAGGAGCATCACAAATTATTGCTTTAATTTCGACTTTTATGATCTGTCCCTCATAATCAATCCCATTATTTATAAAAGCAATAGCATCATCTACAAACATTTTTAAAAACTCGTTTGCATTTTTTGGTTTTCCTTCACCATAATATAAGGCAATGACATATACATTGTTTATAATATTATCTGCACATAATATTGGCCATAAACTCTTTGCGGAAGATTTATATATAGGTAAACCATCAATATTTATAAATAATTGAATGTTATCAAGAGCAAAATTCAATCTTTTACGTTCTTTAATAATTTTCAGAAGAGCTTTTTCGAGACCTAAATGGCAGTAATCTCCGTTTTCAATTTGTATAATTTTAGTTGATTTAGGAATTTGCAATAATGTACGTGGATCTTTAGGCAAAGTATAATTAGTGTGTGTTTGCAATATCTGTAAAAGGCGACGGAGTGATTTATGTGATATCTTTTCTTCAATAGCCCATTTATTTATGTCATGTATAAAAGTTTCGTTATCATTTAAACACAGATTTTCATAATTGTTATCGACTATAGCTTGCAGCTTATTTGCATCCGTGTAATTTTGTATCATACAGGCATTATTTTCATTCAGAAAGTTAATATTATTTTCATCACTTTCATCACAAGATTGATTTAGATTTCTATCTGAGTATACTTTATCAGAATTACATAAAGATGAAGCATTCTCATCAACAACAATTAGTTGATCATTATTATTATTAATTATAACCATAGAATCCGCAGAATCAGTCTGATGAGTTATCATATTCATATCTGTTACTGTGTTTTTTGCAACTAACCTTCGTTTATGTCTTGCACTATAAAATATTGAGTGTTTTCGTTTGCGACCCATATTTTTTACAAAAATATTTTTTACAAAAAATATTTTTTTTTCTAAATATACATATACAATGAAAAAAAGATATTTTGTTACAATAAATATGAAAAAATATAAGACAAACATAAGACGAAAAAATATTGTATATATACTAACCTTAATTTTTATGTTGATGTTTTTCACTTTTGTGTTAAATCACTTCTTATGATTTCAGAAGATCACTTAGCAATAACTATATGATGTTTCACTTTTGAATCAAAATGTCCTCTTATTATGCAAATAAAAAACACGTGCTGGTACACCAATAGACAACAATGACTGCGTATACGCTGCAGAGCGTTTTGGACAACGTGTACGCGCCTACGGTCACGCATGCATTAGGGTTAGGTAAGGTTAGGTTACATTAAGTAGCGTCTATTAACGGTAACGTGCTTGATTCTTTTACTTTTAGAACAAATTAACGTCAAGTCTTGACAAGATGACAATTTAGCAATCATTCTGCTGAACGCGACTATTTTAAAGAAAAATATTTCAAATAAAAGTTTGATTCAAAGGAGGTCATAAAGTAGATGACCCAGACAGCACAACATCTTTATGATGTCACTGTGACATATTTTTGCTATGGGGATTTTTTATCATTATTGTTACATTTCGTGATATACTAGTTATATCAATGTGACATTTTTGATGATATCACTATAACATCATAAAAATGTTGTGCTGTGACGATTAAATATATTTTTTATCGTCACAGCACAACATCTTTATGATGTCACTGTGACATTTTCTTGCTATGACAGATTTTTTTATCCTTATTGTTACATTTCGTGATATACTAGTTATATCAATGTGACATTTTACAATGATATCACTTCAATTGTGATTAATGATATCACTATTACCTTCCAATAATCTCACAATGACATCACAGTGACATCACATTTTTTTGTCACCTTGTGACTCTATTGTGAGCTTATTGTGATGTCACTGTGACATTTTTTGCTATGGGGGACTGTTATAAAATTTCGACTTAATTATGTAATTATATGTATTATAAAATTTACTGTTTTTTGGTAAATTTATTCGTTTAATTTTATATATGTAAATTACTATTTTCATTAAATCTCTAGATATTATATCAGATATATTTGTATAATCTACAATTAAAGTCCACACCTACATCAAATATACTTACAGCGATAAAAGTAGAAGATAAAAGTAGAATATTTATATTTTGAAAACATTTTAGAACTATAACACTATTTAATTTATCTATAAAAATAATGTAATAATATATTTTTTTATATCTGTGTATATGCGATGAATTTTACTTTTTTGCAGTAGTCAAATGAATTATTGATACAAATAATATCAGTCAAGTAAATATAATTCTAAGCTAAAGATAAGCATTGCTATTTTTTTATTAAAATATAGATAACATTTTATATCAATGTTACAATATATTTTATGATATATTTTCACTTCATGTACGAATACGATATTAATCTTGAACGATAATATATCTTTTTACTATATTAAGAATATATATTATTATATCTATCATTATATTTTTCTATGCATTTTTCTGTACTTTTCACATGCAAATATATATAATTATAACGGATTTTTTAATAAATTTTAAATTTTTTAAATAAAAATGTAATTAGGAATGTTAATTTTATAACTAATATATAAATATGTATAAAATACTCATTATAAGAGTATAAAACATTTAAAATAAAAAAAAGTGATTCGTAAGTAATAGTTTACAGCAATTTTGTATAAAAATATAACATTTTATGTTATATGATATTATGTTTAAAAAATAATTTTGCAATATATTATCTTAGATATCGCAAACTAGTATTTATATCAGCTTTTTAATTTAATTAAATGTTTCCAAGATATTCATTCATCAAAATCAAAAATATTTTATACGTAATGTTATTAAATGGTTGCAGTAACGTTACATTTTTTCCAATATATTACACTGCAATATTATTTTATTGCAAAAAGCGGACACTTTAACTTCATCACAATCTTATAACAATAACTCAGCAGATTTTCGCAATCGATTTGCAATATTGGAATGTTTCATTGAAATTATTCTTCAATATATCCGCAACCTTATTGTGCTATATGGGTATCTTCGTTTGCTTATTAAGTGTTGAAAAAATAAATCTTTCAGCCTGTCATATAAAATTTTCCTCATATTCAAGATATCTCAATATCAAACGAAACTTGTATAAAGTTCACGATTGTAAATTTTTGATATGGTATGTTATTTTATTGTTACAATTCATTTTAATATAATTCATTGTTTGCCACTTTTCTACTGCGATATCTTTAGTGTAAAAGTACTAGTACTCTAGTGTAAAAAAGATCGTCGAATTAATGTTTGAGATCCATGAAATTTTCATGCGATTTATGTTGACCCCCCGCTCAAAGTAATATTGTTTGGTTCTGAGGATATGTGAACGATCTCGTTTAAACTCTCGTTGTACAAATCGCTGAAATTAATAGGATACACACGCACGTATATCAAGTAATTTTGTACTGGTAGCGACAAGTTAATCTTTGTGAAAAATCTGCCATCTGCCATACGTTTCGGCACATTGATAACTTGTTTACTTTTTTGTTGCGTGCCGTTCACTAATATAACTGACTTCCAATGCACTTCGTAGGTCACGCCCACGCAATTCAATTTCTTGGGTGGCATCCAATGAACTACTGCTATAGTAGGCGTCAAAGCTAAAACACTTATGTTTTCTGATGCATTAAGCTTGCCTGAATTAGTTTTTACTGATATCACATTCGAATCGAATGAATTTATTGATAATTGATCAAAGTAAACATTGTAAACATTCTCTTTGACGGTTTTTAATGAGATGTATGTGGGCCTGTTTGTATGGTTTTTCCTTTTGGCATGTGTCATCGAGGGGAGTAGCTTGCTTTTTCATGGCACACGGAGATTTTGCAATATGGGCTTGCTTATCAATGCGTTGCGCTTTTTTGTCCGTTTGAATTTCGTCTGTTATTTTGCGTTAATTTATTTCGACTTTTTTGTTATGTGACTCTTTTATTATTATTTATTTTGTTTTGCGTCTTTCTGTTTATTATTACTAATGACTGTTAATTTGATTTTATTTCATTTTATTTGTATGTTTTTACTGTTATTTCGCGATTTGACATTGAAAAGGATCCGAATTGGATCGAAACGCAGTGTTTGTCACTTAAATTAAATAAACGTTTTATTGGATTTATTACATTAATATAACCATTTTTTCGCATCTTTTCATCATTGCGCTGATCCTTTAAGCCTTTTATTGAATTTTTTGATTTTATCCTATGGACCTTTATTTAATTATATTTAAAAAAATATAATCATAATTAGAAATAAGAATATAATTATAATTAGATATTTAGAAATATTTCGTGATAATCAATAATTATATTTTTTTATCGTATACATATGAAATTGTTGGACATGAGAGAAATGAATTTTTCGTGTTATATTTGATATAACCAATATCAATACAGCAGATTGGTAGATTCGCGAATCACAATTCACGAATGGAGATTTATTATTAAAGAGCAGAACAAATTTTTAATTTACTCCGAGATATTAAACGGATTTATGCAGAAATGATTACATATATAAACGATAAAAATACGATAAGGTACTTAAATTTTTTATGAAATAAAAATAAATTAATTCTCATCGACAATGCAGAACAACAGAATTAATAAAATAAATAATAAATATAATAAAATAAAATAAATTATAAATTACTCACGATTGTTTCACCATCGCTTGATACTTTTAATGAGTTATTTTTTTTTGTTTTTCTCGTTTATTTTTTTCTGCTTTATGATATTCACTTGATATTCAAAAAAAGTAATTACGCTAATCAGTATACGATCATACAGCAATTTACGCTTTGTACAATACTCGCGAGTTGCGACGTTACACCATGCCTTTTGTCATTTTGCTACGTGATAATAATGCAATATATCTCAAAAAGTGATGACTCATTCAAGATTAATTAAAATCAAAATCAAAACGCGTCACTCGCTGTGTCAATAAAAATCATACAAATTAATAATCACTAATTGCAAAAATTATACAGAACAATCGCGTTTTGAAGGATCGATTCTCGACGAACAATTTGAGTCTTCCCGCGAGAAGTCAAAATTGAGTTCGAACGAGTGACGCGCGTAATAATATAACAATTCGTCATATAACAATTCTTTTAAGAAAATAACCAATATATTGAAACAGTTTCACCAACTGGTCAATTGATCGATTTTTATATCAGTAATTAAATCAGTAAAACTGTTTCGATATATTATCGATTATTTATTTTAAAAGTTTATTCATTGTTGACGTGATGTTAATGTACGGAATAAACGGAATACATTCGTAAGTTACAATTTTATTATTAATAAATAGTTGATTTGACCATTGCTCTTTCCATTATTCGAAATACTCTATTATATGATTGGAATATAATTAGAATATAATTTCGAAACACGTATTTTGCGTGATGCGTTCATTTAATTAAGCAATTAAAAAGAATTGAAATTAGAGAGAATTGCAATTAAGAATCAATGTGTGTGACCGGAATCAAAATTATAAATTATCATTTTGTTGCAATCCTTAGGAACAATAATTTTTTTAATATTTATAATTAAGAATATTTCGTCCGATGCTTTATTATATAATTATGTGATGATTTAAATATATATAATTCGTCTGAGAAAGCGCAATAAAACGATCGAATGGCAAAATCGAATAATTAATATAATGGAAAGCCTCGTGATGTACAATATATTAATCGTTTAATAAATAATTAATCTGTGTGTACATGTGTGTGTGACTTTAAAAATATACTTGTATATAAATTCAATTTTCGTATATGCACGTCATAGTACACGTAAAATATTTCGGCAGCGAGGTCAATAACACGACGTTCGGCCTTGAAGACGTAGCGCTGTATTATTTACATAGGCGGAGACCTTGTATCATTCGCACGGAATTTCAGTAATAAAGTACGGACATTCCAGTAATAAAGTAGTGATACGGAACACTTCGTATTATTGAATTCTCTTTCTAACAGTGCGATCGCGATTAATATCGAAATAATTCGCTACTATTACAATTAACAATTAATTAACTCTTAATAAATAACATGAAACTATATGGCGATGCATCCATCGAAACGCGATCATTCATTATTCCAAATAAAAATTGAAACAAAAGAGGCAAAAATTATAAATAAAATTACATAGACGACCTTGTAATATTCACACGACATTCCAACGGTAAAGTAATGATACAAAACGCTTCGTATTATTGAATTCTTTTCCTAAACGCGATCGCGATTAGTATTGAAATATAATTCGCTACGACTATTGTAGAGCGAATCGTACTTCTTTATCCCTTATACGATATATTAATGTACGTTTCTCGTAATTATTCCGTGATCGAGAGTGCCGTGCAAAAGTCTTGCAATCGTTTCTATAGTATATGACTAAATATAATTAATTGTTCGTTCGCGAGTGAATATGAGTGCTATGAGGAAACAGCAAAGGATGAAGAAGAAAAAAGAAAGACATCTGGAAAAGTATCGGACACTCAAAGAGCAGTGAAAGAGCCTGAAGCAGTCAGAGAGATATGCGGTGAGTAATTTATAAAAATTATTTATTATTATTATTAGTGAGTAATTTATAAAAATTATTTATTTATTATTATTATTTATATATATTATTTTCAAAAACAGCTATATTGCTTATTATTTTTTCGTTTTCTCAATGGTATATAATTCGCTCTAAAAATCACGTAATATAATACATGTACAAAATATTCCAGGTTTTATTTTAACACATTTAAAGTATTTATAATAAAGCATTTATAATACTTTTGTTATTAATTAATACTTTTATATATAAATATTTTAATATTTTATAAAATATTTTTAAAATAATATAATTATTTAAATATTTCATATATAAAAATTAACATACTCTCTTTATATAATCATATTTTTCAAAAATTTTTAAAAAAGGAACTTTTTTGCTAGTTTTACATTTAAAGTATTAATATCAGAGATAAATCTCTCTTGAAAGATAAAAAAATTGATTGCGTGTAATAATTAGTTTTACAAAATAAATTATTTTGAGTTTTATGAAGAATAGATCTATAAGAATATTAATTGATTATATTTGATTTTCATTTTTGACATATTGATTTAAAAATAGAAGTGTGTGACAAGAATTAAAATTAATAATAATTTGAATTGTATTTAGATTTAAAAAGTTGAACGATAAAACATTGAATAAAATACACTTAATCTTTAATTATCGTTAAAGAAATAATTATTCTTATAAAAATCACAATAAAATAAATTATCGTTTTATTGCTAAGTGTTAACTATTAAATGCAACAGAACAATTAATTTCTTGATACTTTTTCATTTTATGTTGCTAAATATTCAAATTAAATTTTTTTTTTAAATCTCGCTGTTATCAGATTTGATTTGTCTCGAGCACATTTGGTATCTTAAAATTATTATTATTCACACACTTAACCGAGCAACGATAAAAGAGCAGGTATTTCATGTTTCCTAAATATACTCGATTGTAACATGTATATAAAAATCATTATATCCAGCCATCTTTAATAAAAAAAGATATTTCTTAAAATGGAAGAACATGTTTTTTTTCACGCGAATTTTAATCTCATATAATAAAAATGATAATAAGGATAACAGTAATTTATTCGCTGTCGAAATCACTGTTATCGGGAACAATCAGGAAGATCGAGGATTCGTTCCTTCTTGTAGCGGGACTTCTGACGTTCAATGAATCACTTAACTCTTCATAAATCAATTTCGTGAGTTCTGAAATAGAAGAAATAAGACAAGTTGAAGTCGCTTCCCACTTTTAGGATCGTTCTTCTCTCTGTCAGATATTAACCAGTGTGTCAGAGGGATTTTGATTTGATCTAATCGTTGAGTCAGTTATCCTTCATTGAACGTGGTGATAATGCGATTATTTTAGGAATTATTAAAGTTTAGCCTGTTTGCAATTATCGATGAAACAAGATATGTATATTTTACTTTTAATCGTAAAATTTTTTTACATAAAATTGTATATTTGAAAATAAATCAAGTATTAAATTCTGCATCCGCGTTTGATTTTTTACGTATATGTTATAATTGCAGATTCTCCTATTATAATTGCAGATCATATGAAATGCGCCTCTAACGTCGCAATATTTTTATTATCATACAAAACGATAATAATTATATTGCGCGTGCGAACATTATATTGCGATTCCCTTTCTAAAAAGTGCATGTAAAGTCGATTACTCGAATATATCGAAGTTTATTATTGTCGCTTTTCAGCGATGCCGATTAGTTCTTTTAATGCGCTCAATTCATGTTGTGAGCAGCTGTTATTTGCGATTATTACAAATTTTGACAGCTTGTGTGACAGTGAAAAGTGAATAATGAAAGAAAATAAATGGCGCGCGCGAAGCGCGCGCTTTGCGTTGTCTAGTATTATAAAAATTACACGGATTGTAATTAAATATTATTATTACTGTCATTTATTTATATGTCATGTATATTCGTGAAATTTAAATCGCGATTTTTTTTTCATTTAATCATTGGGTAACATCAAAACTTAGTTTATCTTTTCGCGATAACATTTCTTTTAAAAAACCTTACAAAATGCATTAAAATTCCGGGTACTCTTTCTTAATTGACATAATCGATAAATTTATTAAGGATGGTTTTGATTGCGATAGATTATCAGCTATATACGCCAATCTAAAAATTTCTAATAAATTTTACATTGTACGCATTTCTGATATTTTCGTGTAATATAATAAAATATTTTATGTATATATTCTATATAACAATTTATTAT